ACTGAAATGTTTTAGATGATAACCAGTTTGAACTTTTTGTTCTTTTTTTTTTCTCTTTCTCGTGTATTATTAAAAAATATAACGACGACATGAAGTAGTTGTCTTCTGTGACCGAAAAACAACATTAGAAGCAGTGGTAATGGTATAATTCAAATTGTTTCTGCTTAAAACATTTTTTTTTTTGTTTAAGATCTTACAAGATTTCTGCGTCATTGTAATTCTGATCTCTCAAATGATGCCAATAAATACCAATAAATTTTTGGTATCAATTTTGCAACTTTTCTGTTACGTTTTATTTTCTCACCTGCAGTTAACTTCTCATAAAGCTGCCTTCCAACTTGTCCCATCAATGCTTTTATCGCATGTATATACCAATTTATGTGGATATTTTTTACTAATGCAAAAGATTCCGCTGTAAGACGACCTTCCATAAGTTTTGAAACGTCTGTTGATGAAGAGACTGAGCAAAAAGCTGAAAAAATTGTTTGTTAGAAAACAACTGTAAAGCATTTTTTTCTAGCTTAGAAGACTATGATAATCCGACTTTGCTGCTAAGCTTTTTTTCATTCACAGATTTTCTAATAGGTCTTGTTATTTTTTGTTTTGAAAGGGTCGGTTGAACGGTAGACAGTTGTATTTTAGAAGAGCTACGAATTAGTTACTGAGAAAGGTTTTTACTGGAAACTAGGTTCTTAGGCTTTCTGTAATATCTATAAGCTGATCTCCTAAGTTTTGAACATTTAAGACTGTTGTCTCCTGAATACAATTTAATCAACACAAACACTTAAATGACACTACAGCTTAATTCGTTGCGTAGATAATTGCTAATTGTTTAACAAAACACTCGATACAAGTTGAACAATCAGATTTTTGCTCTACTCGTCATTTGTTCACTTTTGTATAGACTGTTGTGCCGAATAATTGCAAACAAAAAAAAGTATGAACTGCTGAAATTTCAAAAGAAATATAAGAAAAAATCAACTTACCATAAGGAAGCAATGAAAATAATAAAAGACTCGTTGTAATCAAACGCATTTTGGGACTGTGTAAGGCTGACAAATTTTGCGCCTCAGAAATTGGTAACTTCCAGATTTATTTCGCTGTTTTTGATTTTAAAATTCGAAGAAAGTAAGTCTAAAAATTCATTTAATAATCAATTCTTTCAATAAATGTGAGAAAAATTACATCAACGTTAATTTGATAATAAATTTAAAGTTAGACAACAGTATTACAGTGCAAAGAAAAAATGAAATTTCAGGAAGCAGGAAAAGGAAAAAAAGATACAAATAAATCAAAAAAATTAATAATTCACAACTGTGATGTCAGAAGATGATCAGTGTTTGATTCTGATACTATATCTGAGTTTGGAAGTCAATAAGAAAATCGTTACGGATTTAGAGGGCTTTTGAAAAGCCGTGATTGATGATTTTACTAATACGCTATCGAATGGGCAATTGTTTTATTCTGCCGTCTATGATTCCATTTTTCTTTTGTAACTATTTGTATGCCTGAAAAAATCATTTCGATGAAAACGATACTCTGTTTGGCGGACTTTCTTCCGCTATTCAGCAGTTGTAAACCAGCTCAAAAACCACCGTGACAAAGTGCTCAGTCTTTTGGAAAGATCTTTTTTTTCTCACTGTCGTAGTTTTCTAATGAGTTTATTAAAGTACAGTTTTGAAGTACGTCACTGTACAAAAATGACAATTCTTTTGTTCAATTCTCCAATTTTTTTCGTAACATTTTATTTCTAATAATTGTCTGAAGACGATAAGGGTAGTAATTGTAACTCATAGTAATTAGTACTAGTAAATTATAGAAAAAATTTTATGACGTTTCGTTGACCTATTTTTGTAATACCTAGACTATATATGACAAGTCTATAAGAGTATTTGCTGAATAAAAAAAATTCTGGAAATGCTAAAGTTTAGCAGTTGTTAAGCTCATGCTTTAGCCTGTTATTGGCACGTCAAGTGTGCCGGTCGCTAGAGCTGGAAGCAGTACTTACTGTAACCCAATCAGTCTTGACATGTTATCACTTGATTTATTACCGGTGTTTTTTAATCGACTAATACGTAACTTTTTTGAATAATGTGGCTAATTCTATGAACTGTCACTTCAATTATATGTAATTCCTTATGTTTTTTTTAAAGTGAGATGTTTTGATGGTACAGAAGTTCATCAGTTATTTTAAATTAAAGAATGAACAAAATTTTGTTTTGAAATTATATCTTCCTTTTCTTTTCAAACTAGTTGTTTTACTTTCTTGATGAAGAAACTGAGAGGCAATACGATGCATTCACCGGTTTACACGAAACCCTATAAGTCAGTCAGTGTTTTCAAGAACAAAAATTTTAGAACTATTCTCTGAATAATTTCTATATAACGCCAAATAAGTATTTTTTATTTTCTTTTAATTAGTAGTTTCTTGAGGTAAACGAAGCTAAAGGTTAGTTTTGCTTAAAAATAGCCCTGATTTTTGACCGCTTGTTTATCAAAAAATTTCAGTCAAAACAACGTTTTTGCTGGCACCTGTATTTAAGTAAGATATAAATATATAGGCATTAGTAAGCTGCCATGCATATTTGATGTAAACTCTTTATGTTTTTATGCAGTAGATGTAACTCAACTTTCTTTATGGTCATCTTAAAGATTTGTTCATTCTTAATAGGTGCATTATGGTGCTCTTACTAGTAGTGGTAGAGTTTCAAACGAGGCTGAGCGGTGGCTGCTTGACCGTAAGAGAAAAGTATGGAAAAAGATGAATAAAAGTTCATTGGAACTGTAAATTAACTAAACCTTTACGAAAGGTAAGGAAAAAAGTATGATCGAGTGGTCAAATGCTAATTACTTCTAAAGAATTCTTTAAAAATTTTAAAAGTAGTTTAGCACTACCTAGGGTAGATCAGATTAATGTGACCCACTAGAAGGTGAACAACTTGAAGGCTCACCGGGATTGGTTTTGTTCAGGTTTATCAGTAATCACTCTCTCCTTCCCTACTGTTTTATAATACCTGTGAACCGTACATTTGAGCAATAATAGGAAGCAAGAAGAAAAACTAGAAAATTGATTTGATGATTGTGGGTTTGGCGGTAAAGACAGTTTTTTTTTTTGTCAGTGAACCTTTCACGACAAACTTCCACTGGCTGTCGTCTCGTCATGAATATTACTCATAACATTGTTTGAAGAATCAGACGAAATTGTTACACCGTAAAAAAAATGTGCTCAAATTTGATGACAAATTGTTAGATTTACGGAAACTGCAGTAAACATTAATCACTTGGAAAAAAAGAAAGATTTAATCACTACTACTGCACTTATAGCGTTTTAAAAACTGTGCAAAAGTTGCTGAGTCTGCATAGGGCTCTTAGGATAGTTCAATTCTCTAAATCTTTTTTTTTTTTAAATTTTTTGTTCATTGCTTACATCTTTCAAAAAACATTGAGAAGTTTTTGGTAGTGACAAAGTTTTGAAAAAAAATTATTATTCTCGAACATGAGGTTTTCAAAATTTTGCATGTTTTGCTAACACCAATTTTTTTTTGTTTGAATTTTCACGTCTATACAGATATAAATACTGAAACATAATTGTTACCTGAGGTTTGTTAAACAAAACCTGTTAGTTAAAGTTTTTCCCACAGACGTATTTATTTAGCTTCAAATTTAACTCATTGGGAAAGTATTTTAGTTTTATCAAACTGTGATTGATATCCAACTATGATTAATGTACATCTTTAAGCTATTCACATTTTCGCTTACTTGGGGCTCATAAACTAACAACAGCGTATTAGAAATGAAACAGAAGTGTAAATTCGCTTTAACTTTTGGGTAGTTTAACTCTCAAATTTGTTTGCACTTCTAAGCTAACAGCAAAACAATATTTGGACTTTTGCAACAAATTGAACTACTGTTGTTACGGAGGACGGATATGGAGTAAGTTAAGAGAAGAGGACTAGTAAAAAAGATTCACAATAAACCACAGAATTAATTAGTCGGTAAATTTCAAAGATGTTCCAGTTTATTAGATATCTACCTTATCTAAACAGATAGCCGTTAATGGATTAGGTATCGGCACCAATAAATGTAGATACGATGACGATGGTGACTTTATACTGATAACAGATTTGGTTTAGCTAAAAAAAAGCAAAGCTTTATGATGTATTAATCTTCTTGTCTTTCTTTGAAGGTATCCACCTAACTGTAAAATAGTTGAAAAGGAACAGTGAAAGTAATACTTATCCACCAATCGTTATTTGACACTGTAAATCAAACAATTATCTTAAGGTTAGAAATACTTCGAGAAAAATCTTTTTTGATTTTTGACCATTTGTCACTTCTTTAAATGCTTTATTCCACATCTTTTACCTTTCCTCTTTTCTGTACTCATTTATTTA